TTCCGTTTTCAATGAATATCTATAGAAAAATGTTTCGAAGTAGATGTATGTGGAAAATGTATATATTCAGTTTATCCTCTAAACATTTATAGCGGTGCTGCAATAGGTTGTACAAAATAACCAGAAAAAGCCTATAATAACTAGATAGGAAAGTCATGTGTTGGACACATCAGATTTTTTGTTTAGTGCTTAGGACCTATTTTTATTATTAAAATTGAAAGATTTGATATTAAACGACATGGAATGTGATATATTTATAAAAATGTACATCCATGGGGATCTATCGATCCATCAACATTCCAGAGTTGATATGTCAGCATTCCATAGCAGGTAAAAAGTGTAAAATTTATAGTAACCATTCATCCATGCCCACTAGAGTGTTGATCCACTCGCTTTAGAAATTTTTACCAAATATCATATTTTTAACGATAGCGGTGCTGTGCTTTATGTTAAACAATCTACCGGCAACGATATCGGACTAAAACGAATATCTCAAAATAAAACTATCTAATATAGTTCCAACTCTCTTGTGAAGAGTTTATTATTTTTTTTTTTTTAGAAACAATATTTAAAACTAAAATGAAAATCAAGATATTCTCAGTGAAAACATTTCCTTGATGGCGAAGCAAATAGCTCTGCTAATATTTTGTTTACGGTTTTAATATGCTCGCGTCATTTCCAGAAAATTCAAATTGCATTTGAAGTCCTAAATCATAATATGGATGGACACAATGACGGTTTGGAGAGCTCGTTAGGTAGAATGGAGGATAGTTGGACGAGCCATTACTAAACACAGATTATGGGGTCTATTCTGTAAAACATCCGTTAAAATTTAGAGGCCTTTAAAAATTTAACTTTAAGCGGCCCGCAAATTTTTATGTCCTATTTAATTCTAGCTTTTGCAATACTATCCAATGTCCTAAGAAGCCGTATGAGGAACAAAAATTGTTTCTACGATAATATCCTAATGTAAAAGTTACTTCAATATTTCGTAACGCTCCTTTCACACGAGCTAGATACCAAATATACGATGCCTGATATCCGGCAATGTTGTTTTTAGACGTATCTAGTATACAGTTAAATCTTGAAGTCGAGTTCGCAGTATACTTTTACTACGGAACGAACCTATACGTACTTCAATATCTATATCCACACGTGACATTTTCACTGTTGCACCTCTATTTTCCATGTTTCAAGAGTGACTGAACGACTTTTATCTAAACACATATGCTTTGCATAGATTTTGATATACGAAATGCAGTATATTCGTTGTCCGGCGCCGGATAAAGGTCGAGATGTTGTCCGGTGTGTATCCGATATAAACAAAAACCGTATATGTGTGAATGCTTAATGTTCTGTATGTACTTTGATGCAGGATATCAGGCGTCGTATATACGATCCGGCAGGTGAAAGGAGCGTAAATCCATTTTTTAACAGTATTTTTTGGACCTATTACAGTTAATCTAGTATAATCAGGGGCGTGGCCACGGAGCAAGTTGGTTAGTTCTTGTCTACAAAAAAATAGCACCCAGTAGATTTTTGCAATTTTTATAGACATATTTTTTTTATTATGTCAATTAAAAATATAACTTTTAAGGTGCTTAAATAACAAAAAACCAAAACTTTGATGAAATTTAACATAATATATAAAATCACAATACGAGCACAGGATAAAGAACAATACAGAAAAGAAACAGTGCTAAAACAGGAACCTAGCAACCGAAGCCACACCTTCTTCATGGAGGAGCATTGTCAAAAGCACTTACTTTGATTACTATACGAGGCAAGAGAGAGGTCCGACACGCCCAACATAGGGCGCGGCCATTTTGAACCCTGTGACACAGTTTACAGCTAAAGAATCAGATCACTCATTCTGCGTCGGCACTTTTGATCTCAATGTTTCAGTTTATACACTGTGCAACTCGGATAATACAATATATGACAACCGCCTATAATAAGGCGATTTTAAATCAGATACTATGTCTTGAATATGATTGACTACACTGATATAAATCAAAAACAATGACGTCATATTGAATATTGTCTTGAAATAGTCAAGTTTAACATGACTACAGTAAAAACGTGGTCATTACAGGTATGAAATGTCAAATGAAATGACAAATGTAAAACTTTTACTTTTTAATTATTAAATCATTGTTTGGTTGTGTTATTTGTAAAATAGAAAGAAAGATTTACGAAAGGGAAAAGTGGGACAATGGTGACGATAGGGTATCAGGTTTAAAAAACAGGTATTTTTTTAAAATAAGCTCCTTTTTTGTAGAGATCTAAAAAAAAGTCCTCCGCTTATATTTATTTAAACCATTAGATTCCTTTTTCTGAGCTTCTCAAAAACAGGTCAAACATTGTCAAAAATATCATTATATATAACTTTGAATTTAAAAAACGTAGCAATAAGATAAAATGCGGAGCATTTTTGTACTTTGGCGTAACGCGTGCCAGTAAGTTAAAAAGCAGGACAATTACGCCTAAAGCGCGACGTCTGGCAACCCTGGCTGAGTACCTAGATATGGACGCATTTAAGGTTTCTGCAAATGAAAAGCCAATTTATTTTCAAGGTAGGATTTATTAATGAACATGGCTAAAGTTTTGATAAAAAATCAGAGGCCAAAGTAACTATAATACCAATTTTCTCTTCATCCATGATCAGTAAACAAAACAAATACTTATTTTTTATCCCTACAAATTCAAAAACAAATCCTACTACTATTACATAACACACAAACAAAAATTCATGATATCTGTCAATGTTATACCCATTGTGAAGTTAGTGTCAATATAAACCAAACATTTTTAAATCAGATTATTAGAACGTCATTATAATGACGTAAGAACCTTGACCACACTTGACTTGGTCACATTTCTAGTAACTGATTTAAAATCGCCTATAATAAGCAGTCTTCTGCGTATCCTGAATTTGTATCCCTGGAGTGGATGTTATTTTGGAACTTTCAACTGGTCCGAGTGAGCTAACTGATTCTTTAGCAATAAACTGTGACTTCAAAAATAATATTCACTGACACTGACAGCAGCAAGCAAAATATCAGGTGCGTTTTAATCATCCGCTTCTGCTTCCGGAATTGTCGGTTAAGTCGTTTTAACCTGTCAGATTAAAACAAGAAAACCGACAAATCCGAAGCAGAAGTGGATGATTAAAACGCACCTATTAAAAATATGTAGGCAACACATAATAAGGGTTCAAAATGGCGGAGTTTTCTATCTCCTTTTAAAAGGCACTCAGAAAGCTGCGCAGTGCGACCATTCTCCGTATAGTAAACGAAAATCAAAGTATGTGGTCAAAAGTGAACCGTAGAGATCGTAGATTGTCACTTGTTCGAAGTGCAACAGTGCACACTTTTGTAGCAGATGAACGAAGCTGTCACTGCTGTCGCTGTCAGAAAATCAATATTTTTGGCCTGTCGTGTCTTTATTTTTCGTTTTGGATTTTTGGTTGTTTTTAGCGAATATTCTGATAACTTTTACGTTTTTCTAGTGGTTTATTTTTAGTTTTTGTTGCTGTTTTTAATTGTGGAGTGTTAATTTAAGACTATTGTTCCTATTAAGATTAGATTTATAAACAATGCCGCGTCAAAGAGCAAGAGGATATACTTGTATTTATCGTGGATGTACCTCAAGAACAAGTGGCAAAGAAGGATTGTTCACTCTTGTGAAAGATCCAGTGAAGTATGTATGAAACATTGAGGGTGAAATAGCAAATTGACCTTGTTATAACATTGTAGTACAATGATTGTATGTATTTTTCAGACTTGAATTGTTGCTTAAGACAGCAAATAGAGAGGACTTATTGGAAAAGAGTGTTGAACACTTACAAAATTTGTGAACTGCACTTCCAGGATAAATTCGTTTATCAGTCAGGAACAAGAAAACGATTATTTGTAAATGCATTCCCAACAGTATTTCCCCATTCAGAACCTACAAAAAGAGTCACAGTTTTGCAAGGTAAATAAATAAAATTTATAGTTAAATGTTACAAAAAGTTTGCTACTCGTCTTGCTTGTCATTTTTTTACATTACATTTAGTAGTTTAAAAATAAAATGATAAGTACTAATAATCTTAGAATATCAACCCACCCATACATTTCATTTTATCGAACTACCTCGGAGGTAAACTGCACTATGTCGACATACAAAAAAAGTAGTTTTATTAGTTAGGTTAGTAAAAAATACAAATATTTTGACAATAAATGGGTGTCTAAATGCATATATCTATGCATATCAGAGAAATATATTCACATTTTATAAAATTATTTAAAATTTCATCTGGCTAAAAAGTGTGACTCAAACATTTAATTCTGTCAAATGATTCTCGACACTAGTTGATCTGATAAAAATTTGCTTTCTCTTTCTTTTTTTTAGAAGAATTTGTTATTCATGGCAAAGACAACTTGTGTCTACCCTTAACTTCAGCAGAAGTAGAATCTATTGAACAAGTGCATAGTCAACCATCTGTTCCTCTACCTTGTGTAACTAACAGAATAAATTCAAACGAGTAATGTGATCATCAAACACTCCAAGAAAGCAGATACTGCGACTGAAGATTGCAACGTTAAGGAAACGTTCGTTTGGTGCATAAAAGAAGAAAAATAATTACTTATTATTTAATATTTTTTATAAGTACCGTTTATATAATTAATCTATATTTTTGTTGTATATTAGAATGTAGCTATTTTATTAAAGCTACTTATCTATGTATTATAAATTAGGCTTGCTCTATAAATCTGTGTAAACAATTTTAATTTTGAAACACTTAAAACGATTTTGTTATGTTATGAATACTATGTAATAATTTTAACAAAATATATCATAGGTGTGTGATCCTTTTTTTAGACATTATAAGTCTAATTGAATCGCTTATTGTTAAAAGCAACTAAGTCACATTTTTAGGTTTTTGACTTCAAAACATAAAACGAAACTTTGAAGATATTCCTTTCGTTTGGTGTAAGAAGGAACAGTCTAACTATATATTGCTTGTGTACTATTTTAGCATTAGTTAACAGTACCTTCTTACACCAAACGAAAGGAATATCTTCAAGGTTTCGTTTCATTTTTTAAAGTCAAAAACGTAAAAATGTGACTTAGTTCCTTTTAACAATAAGCGATTCAATTAAACATGTACGTAATTTGAGTACATAGTTTCTCAACTGTTTTTTTACCGTTTTTATAATATAAATAAACTATTGTTTAAAACTTTATAATTTTTATTTTTTAAACATCTGTCGGAAGTGCTACAAATCGAAAAATATGTTACTTAAATCGAGAATAATTTAAAATGCATTCATGGAAATTTTCATAAAATATGACACATAATTCTGTAAAAGAGAAATGTAGTTTTCGCAGTGTAGGTTCAGTGAATAGCTACGTTCGCGTGTACTGTGAATAGTTACGTTTTCTCAGAGTATCTCTGTGGAACTGAAGGTCAAATATTTCCATCCCTTCTACTTCCGACCATTACTTTCTTTTCTGTATTGTTCTTTCTTTCTTCTGTGATACGAGCGACCATTTCCCTCCGGAAAACAACTACTCTGGCTAATTAATATGGCAACAAGCATTGAATTATAACCAAAGAAAAACAGCAGAGAGAAAATATTAAACTGGTTTTGTCGTTATTAGGACTCATCAGCAAGAAATTGGACATTTTCGATTCCAAACTCTAATAGAATCTGTAGGATGCGTTAAATTTACTCGTACTCATGGCTGGTAGTTGTGTGAAGATAAGAAGTCATAAAGTAACGCCATCTATAAATAGTACACAAAATCAAAGCTTGCTTATGGTTCCTAGTTCAGAGACGACTGGGTGGAATCAAAGCCAGGCCAGGCAATTTTTTTAAAAAATAAAATAATTCCTGAATTACTGAAGCATTTTCAATAATTTTATCTACCGAAACATATTAGCTTAATTTTAGCTTTTGCAGCGAGCTTAAATGTAGAATGTTAGAAAAACTGCTGTGTAAAATTTTTTAATCGAAACTAAATTGATGCAACAGGTAAAAGGCTATTAATAGTTAAAAAATCTAAGTTAAATTTGGGTCAATTCATTTTAAAATTTTTCTGATATTTTACCCTTAAATGGACATTTTTTTACATATGAATGATTCAATCTGTTGGTCTACCAAAAGTTATGTCAGCGGTCCAGGACGTGAATTGAATAAAGGATGACAAAGCTCAATACTTTGTTGCTTGCCGACAAGAAGCATAATTTGGAGCAAAACTTTATTCAACAATATCGATTTTTCTACGTTGGGCGCCAAAAACTCGTGACACTCCGATCGGAGCACCGACGAGGCAATACAAGAACACTAACACTCTTGTGCTAGTATCCCCTCTCATGTAGTAAACATGACATTTGGGATAACCAAGAAAACAATCATCTTGAAACAAAATACCTGTTAAATACGTCACATGCTCGTGCATTTAAAGGGTAATGTTAACATCGCAACGATTGCATTAAAAAAAATGCAACAACTTTCTGGACAATTCCGTTTTTAATAACATTTCTCGACACTTACTCCTTAATAAATCAACACATCCGAATTCCAAGTAAAAGGTCTGATATTACTAACATTGTTAACGACATTGATAAAATCGAATTAGTAAGTGGAAAAAAATTTTTTTCTAGTTGATACAAAGAAGTTGATAGTAAATTTCTTCCTCCAGTATTTCTTCAACAATACAGGCTTTCAACCTCCTGAAAAATTAACTTTCCAACGACATATTACAGAGCGCCTGATTTACATAAACCATGAAACTTTTCGCGCTACGGCCAAATAATTATTTGCAATAATTATTCTTAATATTTCGCCCAATTTTTATCTATAAACGCATATCACCACATGTAAATCTAACGAATGACATATATCTTAAATTTGATGAATTTGTTTATGCCTTAAACGTTCTAACAACACGTACAACATATTGTCGACAAATAGGACACTCAGCTAACTTTTTTCCACAATCTATACACGTGGCTATATGACCGCACTCCAATAGAACGCAGTCGAGTGGGGCGTCCATGCACAACTTGCAAAGTTCTTGAATGGGCAACTTCTCTGGTTCCTCTGAAATACCAAAAAAATAAGGACATTAAAAAATTAATACGTAAAAATAAATTAAATGTTCATACCTTTCCTCAGCTCATTTGTGTCTTCCCATAGTCGTTCTGCCCTCTCTAGTAATTCAGATTTTTCTAAGCAACCTTTAAAATCTACTCGATTTAAGGTTAGTAGGATTTTCAAGTCTTTAGAAGATAATGTATGGAGCTCCTCTGCGCTACCGAAGTCTTCTATTTTTGGATATTTGGGAGGTAGAGAAATTTCATCCGCGGTTTCTTCCTGCAAAAATATTTAAAATTCCGCTGGTTACCAATATAAGTCACAAATCAGGCCACATGTTTCAAAATAGTTTTTTAATGGGACATGAGATTGTCAATTCAATCGACTAATAATGTTTATTTAAAAAAAGAAAAAAAATAAAAAATTATTTTAAAAGGTGAAAGATGTAAATAAACAATGGTGAGCCCGTAAAAACCAATGGTTGTGCACAGGTTCAAATTCAAATTCTTTATTTTTGTACTAGGGACAATATACAAAATGTATTGTATTGTACACGACAATATCCATAACTAAATATTAGACAAAAATAAAACTAAAATTAAAATTAATGCAAGTTCGAATCCCACCGTTGGCCGGAATTTTTTCATTTAATTTAATTATTTAAAATTAATTCTGATGCCTTGGTAGGATTCCCCACTCGACCATTCACTGTTGGGTTCTAATTAACAGTGCTGTTCCTAAAGTGGCGCTGGGAAACAGTAACAAAGCCTACACAAAACACGAGGCGAAATAACCTTAGCAGTTGAAGCCGATGACACAACAAAAAAAAATTGATGCAAAATGTCCCAGTTTATTAGTAACTAGTGCCTTGGTACAGCTAATGAAATCCAGAATGCACTGATAAACAAAGAAACGGCCGGGTATGCCTTCTTAGACATAGAAGGAGCGTTTGACAACATGCTACATGAATCTGTCAAAAGAGCACTCACATACAGATGGATGGCTCAACTGCTATCCAAGAGAACTGCAAAGACACGGATAGGGCAGGACACCATATCCATCTGCACAGCCAGATAATTTATATCCTCATTAATGTGCAACCTAACCGTACAAGAGCTTCTATGCATATTTACTGACCCTGCATACCCTGTCAAGGTTATGCCGACGACATAGATTTGCTAGAGGTAAATTGGGAAATATCCTGTGTGATCCAAAGAGGACTAGAATACATCAAAAGGTGGTGTTATGAGGTGGGACTTAGTATAAACCCTACCAAAACAACACTAGTAGTCTTTTCAAGGAAAAGAAATCTTAATCTTAAAACCGTTAAATTAGACGGGATAGATATAGAATGGAAAAAATAAGTCAAATATCTAGGCCTAACCCTGAACAACAAACTTATCTGGAACATACACGAGAATAAAGTATGAAGGCCACAAAGGCCCTAATGGTATGATGAAACTGTTGTGGAATCATCCAAAACATTAGTGTTGTTGTTGTTGTTATACTCAACCACATGTACATTTAGGTGTAATACTGGTTGCATAATAGATTGGGAAAGGCATTACCACTCCTACAATGATTCAGGTGCAATAGCCAATTAGGTATAATAATTTAAATATTGCACCTTATAAATTAAGAGGGGAACTTCCTTTTTTTTTGTTAGAGACGGAAGTTATAACAAAAGGGTAAAATTAATAATTGTAAAATAATCGTTGACACACTCAATCTGCTAATTTAGATCGATTTCCTCAACTCACTGCCTCAACAAACTCCAAGTGGTAAAAGTTATTATTAATTGTGATATTCAACAACCGAAAGGTATTTTATTGTAAATTAAATACAGTTAAAAATAAATTTCAAATTGATTTGACTAAAACGTCATCCCCTGACGAGAGTGTTGGAGTTGATTGGAGAAATCAACGAGAAGGGCCCAGAAACATTGCGGGGGGTTAAAGATGGGGATGTAACGCAACACATATACAACAATGGTAAGACCAATTCTCACATATAGGGCTGTAGCCTAGAGTAATAGAACTAGTTTAGCTACTACGAGAGCAAATATCTCAAAAGTACAAAGACTAACCTGCGTTTGCATCACCGGTGCAATGACAACCTGTCCTACGGCCGCAACGGAGGCGATTTTAAACCTTACCTCTCTACATTAATGATAAAGAACGTAGCAAAAAGGACAAGATATAGAATGATCAGGAACAGAGTAATCGGACGAAAGTATAATAAGTTCAGGACCGAAAATACTTTGGGTATGCCCCATGACGAAATGAGAAAGATGTAGTTTTGTGAAAAACTTCAAAACCACAGAGACTGCAAGAAAGAATGGAGCCAAGAATCCATCGTGCTTGCAGCGGAAAGACATGTCCATTCGGTGGTATACGGATTGTTCCAAAACAATGGAAGGAACTGGAATAGGAGTGTATAGACCTAGAATCAGGCACTCTGAAAGTTTGGGTATATACCCAAACATCTTCCAAGCGCCATTGAGAAGTGTATCGAGAGAAACTATCGCAGACAAGACATTATCATCATGTTCGATAGCCAAGCAGCTGATGCGCTCTTACGTTATCAGCTCAAAAATGGCAGGAGATGCTTAGAACAGTGTTTCTTAAACTTTTTTGACGACGGAACCTTTTTGAAAAGCGAAATATTTGACGGAGCCCTAAACACATTTAAAAAAAAAGTCCTAAAGCAAAATCATATCCTCCTTCCTCTTAGTAACTTCTAAAATAAAAAAAAAAAGATCCTCAAGTCAGGTGGCGATAGTACTGCTTTTTTTGTAAAAGATTCAAAATAAAAAAATAATCAACCTACTCTTCCATTAAAAAAAAGTTGGGGGGTTCCTGCAACCCCCAGATAAAAAAATAAATAAGCCTCTTTACAATATTTTCAGAAGTGGTGTAGCTCAGTGCTACACTTTCGATGCAAAGGAAAAGACCTAATATGGCAAATTAAATGCCTAATACGGATACGCAATGCACTATACACCAATAATTGAATTTTTTTGTCTAATACTGTATCTGTTATCGATATCATGTAGCAGGTACTTTATTTCTATTTTTATATGATGAATTTAAAATTGAATGGGCAAATATCGTGCAAGCACTTGAAATTCTTGAAAAAGTAAATCTGTAGAGGAACTAATATTTTTTAAGCATAATTTTCTGTATACGTTTTTGAATTATTTCTAATAGCCAGATGGACTTGATATATCCCATTCTAGTATTCCATATTGTAGCCTAGATACAATAAATGAATAGTAAATTATTTTTAGGTAATTTATACTCAAGATAAAAATTAAAATATTTATATTAAACAAGTAAACATCTTAAGGTTTTTGTGATATTTTGAATACTTTTCTCACTTTAAATCCTTTAAAACCCCTAAGTACTTGATATAATTCATTTTGTTTATATTAATATCAGTTTCATTAATTTTTATCATTAGTGTTTGATAGTCAGTTATGGTGTGTTAGCATATGATACAAAGGGAATAAAAAAAGTTTTGTCGAAATTGACTATTAACTATTTATTATTAAATCATTCAATTATTTTCATCATATCCCCTTCAATATTACGATTCAGATCTTGCCATGTATGTGAACTGTACAGAATAACTATGTCGCCATCAAAACAAATCATTTCTCCAGATATTTCTAAATTTAGCATCATAAAACACTGATTTTGCCACCAAATACAAACAATATTTATTGTCCTGTACAAACAATAATAATGAGTAAAAATTTGTTGCATTTCGATTTATGATTTATGGCAGTAAATTTCATGTATAAATTCAGATCGACCAATAATTTCATCTTTTTTGCCAATGGGCCCGTTCACTTTCATTTTTGAATGTGAATTATTTATATATTTATAAAGATATTAAACTCTTTTGTCTGGCGGTACTTTTCCCGTTAAGATATTTTTGCTAGAAGTACCGGAATTCCCATAAAATTCTTTCAGTGACTCATTGCGTCAGAAAACCCCTAATTCCCTTCAGGTCTTGTATCGGTTAATAGTTAAAAAGGCGCGGTTGTCGGATGTATCATTGCACCACCATTCCTCTTCTGCATTTATTAAAGAAATTTACATGATAAAAATATATTATTTTTTAAAAATAATGTGTTTATATTTTCAGATAAAGCTGGAAGCCTTACCTTTTTTAAATTTTAATAAAAACAATTAGTTTTACTCAAGCTGAATATTACCAGATCGAAATTTTATTTGAGAAAATGTATCTGGTAAACGTGACAACGTTGTAAGTGCTTCTAAATAGTGTTGTCTACACACACTTCTAGAAATAAATGCAACGTTGCCACGTTTACCAGATAAATATTGCAAATCAAATTTCTACTTTTTGATTATGGTCTGGTTAATTTTCAGCCTGAGTAATAATAATTGTTTTAATTAAAACGAAAAAATAAGCTCCCAGCTTTAAATCTGAAAATATAAGTTCATGATTTTTAGAAAAATAATGGAATTTTACTATTTAAATTACATATATAAATGCAGAAATGCTATATTAGGGATACTTCCGACAACCTCGCCGTCTTTAAGCATAACCGATACGAGACGTGAACGGAATTAGGGATTTTCTGACGCAATGAGTCACTGAAAGAATTTTATGGGAATTCCCTTACTTCTAGCAAAAATATCTTAACGGGAAAAGTACCACCAGACAAGAGAGTTTAATATCTTTATAAATATATAATTAATTCACATTCAAAAATGAAAGTGAACGGGCCCATTTGACAAAAAATATTTTTTACAAAGCCCGGAGTAAGGTAATACAATAATGTTATTAACATCAAATTCAGCAAGCCAAGAAGCCTTTGTCCCAAATATTAATCATTTTCCTGACAATTTTGCCATTTCTTTAAGTCCTGTAAGATTCTTTATTTTTATCTGTTTATATTTCCCTTATTTTTCCATATAAAAGTAATAAACATAGTACTCACATCTCTAGGGATAATACCATCTTGCACGGTGGCTGAGGTAGTTGGTTGCGGCTGTGGACTGGAGGGAGAGAAACCGGCGTGATTTTGTGGCGACTGAGGAGCAGATCCGAAAGGCGGTGTTCTCTGAGTAGATCGTGGTTGTTCTTGGAGTGGCGATACCCTGGACTGTCTCGTCGTGTTACTCGTACCGTCATTCGTTATGACCGTTTCTATATTACCTTTAAATTTAAAAATGTTTAAGCAAACGCCTTATTTAACGTTGAAGCAATATCACAAAACGAAAGAGTAGTTTGAATGGATTTATTACGTAAAAAAATTGTAAAGAAAGCGTTTTATCTCTCGTATTCGGGTATGCTTATTTTAATACAATAAAGGCCCAATTGATATTGCAACTTACAAAAATTGTAATGGTTAAAAAGAGCACAAGGTATTTTATCAATTTCTTTCCTTATTCCTAACTTAGGAACCACCACGCGTTAGATTTTTTCTAAAGTCCGGCTTTGCTATAAAATCAAAAATTGTTCCACTCTCAAAACAGTATTTGATTTTTATAATTAACCAGAATTCAACGATGTTTTTTTTGTAATGTATTCTTCCGAAATAAATAGTAGAGAAATAAGAAACAGATTTTAATAAGAGCAGAAAAGTGTATCCATTAAAATGGTAGTCATTTTGCTTAACAATTAAGTCTTTCATGTCTTTCCATTTGTTTTCGTTATTATTGGTTGTTGCTATACATAATATTATTATTATTATTATGTAGTTTTTGCCCTAATGTTAATTATTTTTTCTTCAGTCATTAGTGTTTGTTCTTATTGGTTTTTGTTATTATCCATCAGTAAAAAGAGTCTCATAATATTTGGAAATATCTTCTAAAAAGTGTAGAACAGCATCATCTCTAGAAACTGCTTTATCGGCCCTAGGAACGATATTTATAAGCTGCCACTGTTCTAAGCGTTTAGGATCATATAAAAAACATTTACAATGACAAAATTGGGGTTCAACAAAAAAATAACAGGGGCAACTCTTTAGCTAACACTAAAACTCTATAAAAAAAAATTTCTTTTCTGGTAAGTAAAATTTAATGTGTAATTATTGTTGTTTGTAAGTCAGGATCTATGATTGTATAATTTTATTTTATAGAACTTAGTTTACAATAAATATTATATTTAGAGAAAAATACATTATTTTACTTACATTAGAAGCTTTAAAAAGACACTGAATTGATTTCTCCTTGTGTTTTCTTTAGTTTTACATCTGATTTGTATCCCGTTTTACAATCTAGAACGAAGTAAATCTTGCTTTGATGGTTTTTGTCATTTATGTTACTTATACTCAGATACTTTTTTTCACATTAGTTTGATTCTTTTCACCAATTTAAAAAAGAAACACTTCATTTTACATTGACTTACATAGAAAATTGACAGCACTACTGTTCGACATACCAACTATAGTCAATTTCGCGAACTTTATAAAAAGGACAGAAATATGAAATGTGACCATTGCCGATTCGCCTCTCTCTCTAGTCTTCATAAGTGTACCAAACGTCAAAGAAATGTACGGGGTTGTTCACAAGTTATGAATAAGGAAAGAAATCGACAAAATTGATAAAATACCCTGGTTCTCGTTTATAAACAGCCAAAGACCCATTAGACAGGGGTTATTTAGAATCACCTCGGTGGCCTCCATCCACGGTTAACCTATGTCCGTTTTCCAATTACTAATCACTCTGTATAATGTAATAACAAAATTGTTAATTAAAATACTACTACTATAGTCTAGAGAACAAAGGAGTGCAGTAATTTAAAAGTAAAGGTTCAAGAGGTAGACATTTTATTTGTAACTCATCTTCAAACTTATTTGTAGTTAAAATGAAAATTTTAATACATCTGATCGGCCTAATAAAAGTTTTCGTTTAGATTTAATCCTGTTTCCATGGATTTTACTATAATAAACCTTTTCTTTTGACAGATAAGTCAGACTTTATTTATTCATAGCCGTATCGCATGTATTTTAATTGATTCAGAATTTTATATTAGTATATATTATAATTTTACAGTTATAAATGAATGGCGAGTGCATTAGAAAATATTGCAAGCACAAGTACGTGTAAATGACCTAGTGGACATAAAGCATTATCTGTATTTAATAATCTTCGAAAAGTCTTTATTTATTGTAGATGAAAAAGCCACTAAATAAGTTAACAGTTATTGGAGAAGTCTCACATCCGAAAAAGCCAAAAGGAAGAAACAAGACCTTTATTGAAACTTGGGTAAAGAATGTAATAAAGCAAATGGTACATTCTTATCTGTTTCGTAATGAAATTCTTACACTTAAAAAATTACAGTCAGAAATAGAAAATAGCCCCATTCTTCCAAATATATCATATTTTCATCTGAAAAAAATATTACATGATTTCAATTTTTTTCATTACAAAAAACGTGAAAGAGAATGACGAAATCATTGCTTGGAGACAAGATTACTTAAGGAAAATAGTGGACGCAAGGAATCAGCATAAACAGGTATTTTATATAGATGAAACATAAGTTAATGCTGAACATACAGTAACAAAAATTTGGCAAGATACCTCCACAAGCCTTTATGGAAGGGGTCTCTTGTGGATTAAAAAAATCAAATACAAGCTTGGGTGGATATTATGAATTAGAAAAATTAATAAAACCATTAGCACGAGTTTTACTAAAAAATGTATATCACCTGCCTGCTTCAATATACCTGGCTCATTTCGACATAAGTACCTAGGAGTAGCTCCACATGATATTGTTCAATTAAAAAATATTGATCCGATAAGATTTTTGTACAGCAATTACCGGTCGCGATTTGATCTTTGTTCTCGCCGAAATTGTCTAACTCTGAATTACATTTTGGAGTTCTACTTTGCCACAGGACATAAATTTAATGAAACAATAGAATCTGTGTAGTGTCAAACACAGTGGTTCATACTTCGTAAAGCCTTAAGTGCAGCTAATGCAAATAAATGAATCGGAAGAGAAAAATTATTGTCGAAGTAATATGTACTCCGAAACAGAGATAATCAATAAACGATTAATATCGAAATAAAAAATTTGTATCAAACTTTATACAGTATGTCCCCCTAAGTTGGAATCATATGGAAAACTTTTTTATTATTAATTTTAGGAAAAAAAGTTATTCTTCATAAATGTTCTGCATTATTTAAAACCTAGAATAGTCATCAAATATCAAATTTTTTCAGTAGTATACGAGGTTTGTCAAAAGTTGAGTTGAGTTTTACTCAAGAGTAAAGTATCTTTATTCTTTATACGACTGATAAAATTTTATATTGATGGTTGTATTTTAGGTTTTAGACCATGCTAGACTTTTTATAAAGAATAACTGTTTTCCCAATATTAATAATAAAAAAGATTTTCATATGCCGCCAATTTACGTAGACAGTTGGTGGCATAGGAAAGTTTTTTTATTACTAATTTTAGGAAAAAAAAGTTGTTCTTTATAAAAAGTCGAGCATGGTCTAAAACCTAAAATACAACCATCAAATATCAAATTTTATCAGTCGTATAAAGAATAAAGGTACTTTACTCTTGACAAACCTCGTATACCACTGAAAAAAATTGATATTTGATGACTGCATTCTAGGTTTTAGATAATGCAGAACTTTTTATGAAGAATAACTTTTTTCCTAAAATTAATAATAAAAAAATTTTCCATATGATTCCAACTTAGGGGGACATACTGTATACTACGTAAATAAATGGATAAAACCTTTAGTGTGCTACAAATAATTTGAAACACACGTAAATTGTAGTAACTCATCAATTTGATATTATTCCTTATGTTATAGGTACTTCTGAGAGATAAAGGCATCATTATTGACGACTTTAAATCATTCAGAGTTTTGAATGTTAAATAAATTCTTAAAACCTAAAACAAAGTATTTTTATGAAGAGCTTTCTGAAAAGCCGTGGAGTATTTTCTTTAATTACCACACGTTCTTCAGAATGATTGAAAATCTGACAATACTTTTTTGCATTCTACTACGTAATGCGAACTAATATTAACAGCCGCACGTTTTGTAAACACCAAATTTTAAAAACAATCATGCTTATTCCTTTGTTGAATAATTTTTATATAAAATACTTAAACCTATTAATCGCAGCCCAACTTTTTAATCATAATACAATCAATAAATCGGATCATCCAGCGTATTTTATTTCTTATTATATCCTACCTCCTTTTTTTCGCGAGGCGAATCTGCAAAATGAAAAACAACAACACATCTTTTTTTCAAAGTATCAACACAACAGAACATCAAAAATTTTAAACGGAACCATCCGTACTTTTTTATTGCACACGTAAATTAAATCCGAACTGTCACAACTGCTCTTCTAATCTAATCGTTGTATTGAAACTGATAAGTTCGCATAAATAGAATTATTAATGTTTTGAATTTTCTGACAAGGGATAGATATAACGTTGACGAGTTATTATACTGATAAAGCTCGGGTATTTAATTACGTTCGAATTAATTTTTAGTGTGCAACATTCACCATATTTGGCCAGATTAATATTTGCTGAAGTTATCAGATTTTCATTTTTTTTTAAATTATCTTATTTCTACATGTTTTTAAATGAGATGGTGTCTAAAACTGGCACAATTATTTCAAATGTCTAAGACGTTTAGCCTATTGTTTTGACAAAATATCAAATAATCGTTTTTATGATATGAACGTATGTATATTGGACTATTTGGGGTCGCTGATTTTGAATACGACATTAAAAATTAGAAGTACAAAATAGCAATAGAGTTTTCCCAAGTTTAAGGCAAGAACGGTGTTAACAAAATGTATAGATAAAGTCCAAACGGTATATTTTGTGATCTTTTATAATTTAAACCGTTAATCAAAGCTATAAACAAATATTTTAGCAAATTACTAAACTGTTGATACAATGTCGTTCACAGTAAAAATTGTTCATATATTTGCTTTTATTTTATATCTTCCAAATTACAGTCTATGGTACACAGCAAACACTAATTAAAAACTTATTAGTAATTTGTGTACTAACTCTTATTGGAGCTTATTGTACAATTTAATTAAACAAGCCCAGTGATAAGTTTGACATTAAATCGATAATCAATTCAAAATGCTTTTTTCGTTAAAATTAGTGCTTTCCGATTTGGAAAGGTATACATATAAAAAAGACTTGGAAACAAATTAGATAC